AGTTTCCTCACATAAACTGCAGATTCAGGTCCTTCCACAGCATCAGGATTGGATTAAGGTCAGGACTTTGACTTGGTAATTCCAAAACATGAACTTTATTCTTCTTGAACCATTCTTGGGTAGAACGACTTGTGTACTGAGGGTCATCATTGTGTTGCTGCCTGACCCACCTTCTCTTGAGATTCAGTTCATGGACGGATGTTCTGACATTTTCTTTTAGAATTCTCTGATATAATTCAGAATTCATTGTTCCATCAATGATGGCAAGCCGTCATGGCCCAGATGCAGCAAAACAAGCCCAAACCATGATACTACCACCACCATATTTCACAGATGGGATGAGGTTCTTCTGCAGGAATGCAGTGTTTTCATTTCTCCAAAGAGAACACTTTTCATTTAAACCAGAAAGTTCTATTTTGGTCTCATCCATCCATAAAAAATTCGTCAAACAGCCTTCTGGCTTGTCCATGTGATCTTTGGCAAACTTTAGACGAGCAGCAAGGCTCTTTTTGGAGAGCGGTGGTTTCCTCCTTCAATCCTGCCATGCACACCATAGTTGTTCAGAGTTCTCCTGATGGTCGACTCATGAACATTAACATCAGTCAATGTGAGAGAGGCCTTCAGTTGCTTAGAAGTTACCCTGGGGTCCTTTGTGACTTCGCCCACTATTACGCGTCTTGCTCTTGGAGTGATCTTTGTTGGTCCATCACTCCTGGGGAGGGTAACAATGCTCTTGATTTTTCTCCATTTGTACACAATCTGTCTGAATGTGGATTGGTGGAGTCCAAACTCTTTAGAGATGGTTATGTAACCTTTTCCAGCCTGATGAGCATCAACAAATCTTCTTCTGAGGTCCTCAGAAATCATCTTTGTTTGTGTCATGATACACTTCCACAAACATTTATGAAGAACAGACTTTGATAGATCCCTGTTCTTTAAATCAAACAGGGTGCCCACTCACACCTGATCATCATCCCATTGATTGAAAACGCCTGACTAATTTCACTTTCAAATTAACTGCTAATCCTAGAGGTGCATACTTTTGCAACTCAGAAAAATGTATTATTGGATCATTTTCCTCAGTAAATAAATGACCAAGTATAATGGTAGTTTTTTCTTCTTCTTTCGGCTTCTCCCTGTGTTAGGGGTCGCCACAGTGAACTAAGTCGCATGAAGACTTGGCAGTTATTTTTACACCGGATGTCCTTCCTGGCACAACCACAGACACCGAGCTACCACAGCCCTCTGTGTGGAGCAGAGAGCTGCATCTAGGACACCCGGAAGAGCAGATGGTGGGGGTTAAGGGCCTTGCCCAAGGGCTCAGAGTGGAGCGAATGAGGGTGGGGGCAGTTGTGGGTGCTTCACCTACCCCACCCACATTTTTGATGATGTTGGTACTGGCGCTTGAACCGGTGATCTTCCGATCACAGGCTCACCTTCTCTAACCTCTGCGCCACCACTCCCACCATAATAGTATATGAAGTATAATAGTATATAGTATATGAAGTATAATAGTATATAGTATATGAAGTATAATAGTACATAGTATATGAAGTATAATAGTATATTCAGGTCTCTCTTGTAAATGAGTTCCTGAGGCTCAATGGGACCAACCTGTATAAGTAAACTTTGATTGAATAATTTTTTATGCATTTTCAGATTTTCTCATTTGTTTAACTGAGTTCTCTTTATCTACTTTTAGGACTTGTGTGAAAATCTAATGTTTATATTTATTCAGAAATATAATAAATGCTAAAGGGTTCACAAACTTTCAAGCACCACTGTATGTATTTCAGAAATTGCTATCTACTGGGGTTTTACACACAACCATCTCTAAATTTTAGAGAGAAAACTGTGGTGACCATCTTGGATTTTGATAGGGACCTTTTTTACACCTAGATGCAGCCACGCACCAAAATGGAAGTTGGGACATTGCTCTTTTTTCTAGTTATGCTGACAAGACAGGCAGACGTATATGGCAGTATCCATCTTGGATTTTGGACGTGGCAACTGTTGGATTTAATATTTTATACCTTTTTATAATTCCTATCAAGCACTCAAATGTCATGTCACATTAAGGGTGTGCGTGTCTTTCTTCCAAGGTTGAACTATGTTTATAGAAAATGTTTGCTAATTCTAACTAGTTGACCTTTAAATATAATCTCATAGTAGCTAAAGATAATTTTACAAGTTCACATTTGATAAATTACAAGCAATCAAATCAGGCCAGAGAGCAGACTGATTAACATAAATAAAGCTAGAACACAGCTCTTTAATTTAGACAATATAGTTTGACTAAGTAAAATCAAATTAAGAGTATAACCATGATCCAAATTAAAACACGAACATAAGTTAGATAATATAATTATTACTAGAAATGAACAACTATTTCAAATCAGTGTTATCACTAAGGTATAATCACGTTAAACAAACAGTGTTCACAGTTCAAACGCAGACAAGGTAACTAAGATGAATCTGCCTTAAAAAAAAAACAGAATCACCAGGCCTCCAACAGATATTGAATTAACACCCAGGAGGTAGGTAATAATTAATAGTTATTAATTATTACGTATAAACAATTTAGACATGAATCATTTTATTTCCCTAAAGTATAATAGCAAGTTAAACTTTAAACAAAAGCCGATTTCGGTGTACCAAAACTTATCTGAAATATAGACGTTAACGTCCTTGAGGGGGCGGGCTAAGTCGTAACCATAGCGACAGAAGCTGAACCAATCAGGAAGCTAGCCTTCTTAAACGGGGATAAAAGGCCGGAAATGACGCACGCCCACCGAGCATTTTCCGGGAGGCGCACACGAGGCGGTTCGTTCTTAATGCTCCATTTATATGCATATATCTTATTAATGTAATTGTTTGTCTCTGAATATCTGTAACCCATGTTGTGTCAAATAAATCTTTTATACGAAGGGCGACGCCTCCGCCGTTTTGAACACGACGTGGTATTCTAACCACAACACAACCCAATTTTCAAAAGGAACTTTACTTACACCTAGATGTAGTCACTCATAGGCATCACAGCCATTATATGTGAAGGGGACATACAAATGTAGGGACCCCCCCACATTTAAAAATTGTTCATTTGGACCCCCCACATTTATCATGAAACATTAGTTCAGTCCGTGCTGCTTCTATTTCTTCGTGTACAAATTCATTTCACTTGAATAATAGGAGAATACTCAAACTGCTAAAAGTCCACTCCAGGTTTTCCTGGTTACCTCCAACTCTCTACATCAGTAGCGTTTCTCCTCTGCGTCTCCTGCCTTGGCAGGATGCACACAGGAGGAGGTAGAGACACCTCTGTGTTGCTCGCTCTCCAGCTTAGTGAGTTTAGTGTGGGCAGTTTGTTGCTCGGAGGGGTTAGGTTAGGATCATAAACATATATACATGGTTAGGAGAGAAGTGGAGTGCTACGTCTGTAGCATCTTAGCTTAGCGCTAAGAGTGTGATGCTGTAAGCCACTGTATGTTAAGGTGCAATAAAGTTGAAATGTCTTTTAAACCCCACACCTTATTGTCCTAAAACTTTGTGATAAATAGATGAGTAGTGATGAACACAAAAAGTCTAGTGGTTATGTTTTCTATTTCTCTAAAAACACATAGTGCCGACCTGACGCGCTGTGTTTTCGTGTATTAAAGTTTAAATGTCTTTAAAACCCACAGCTGAATTTACACAAACTTTGTGAGAAACATGTTTAAATGGAATTAAAGTAAGGAACTCTAGATGAAGTGTTGCTTTTTTGTACACTGGTGTGTGTGTGCGCGCACCAGTATGTACCTCCATTACAGATGCTTCTGACGCCAATGTAGCCACTCTACATAATGAGGGACAACTAACTGGCCTCGGGGTAAGCCTTGGACTCCCTTCAGCTATGTACTTCATTTATATCTTAATGTTTTATATTGTAAGTGAATGTTCTGTACTAATTTTTAAGTGAATAGAGTGCGCAGACACGTGGAACAGCCTGAAAAACAGGACTGATGCATTTCCCTTGACCATGCTGAGTGTGCACTAGTGAGCCCTGAGACAATGTCTGTTGTGATTTGGCACTATGTAAATAAACTGTATTGAATAGAAACTGAATTGAATCTTTTGACCCATCGCTGTGACTCTAGTTCTAGGCAGTAGGGCAGGTGTCAGTTGCACATAGGCCCCCACCCTGGAGAGTTCCTAGAACCTGTTTGGTTGTGGGTTAGGGTTTGGGTGAATCAGGGACCTTAGAAACAGATCATGTGTTTTTTATTTTTTTATTTTGAGATTTGCTGCGTTGACATCCAAGGAACTGACCTGTGATGTCACTGGATCTACACGCATGAATACTTTAAGAACGTTCCATTAATGAGCCACTGCCCATTTAGAAGTGAGGCAGTTTTGCCACAGTGTGTTTGGACAAACTGGACTTCTGACACAGAGATCAGTGAACTGGCTCTGCCACTTGTCCACTATTCAGAAACCCGGTTGGACCTGGGGTCTTTCTGGTGGAGTTTGCATGTTCTTCTTGTGCATATGTGGGTTTTCTCCAGGTACTCCAGTTTCCTCCCACAGACCAACAACATGCATGTTAGATGCCTTCAGACCCAGGCCTCCCTTGCAAAAGAGATCTGTGATCTCAATGGGGTTTGCCTGGTTAAATGAAGGCTAATAATAAAAATAATAAATAATAAAATATGGGTTTTAAATTGTAAAAAAAATTGTAATACTCAACTTTTTTTTTAGCTTTGTCTTATATAGCTCTCAGTTCTTTGTAACGATTCAGCCTCCAGGCTCATTTCATACCGATGATCTTCTGGCTTCATTCATGATTTTAAACTCACAATAGCTGTTCTTGTTTCTTGTTTACCTTATTTTTTTGTTTGTTTTTGTTGTTTGTAGCAAATTAAGCAAAAACATGCTGCGGGGGCTTTACTTCACCTCTCTGCTGCTGGGAGTTTGATCTGTATGTGTGGAATATGTGCAAATATGATGTGTGGTGTGGAACGTACCAGAAGGATTCCTTCAGCTTCTATGACCACAGTCCATGTTCCTGGGTTTAAAACGAAGGGCTCCACAAAGTTGTTCTGGGGAACATTGACAAAAGTCGGCTGTGCACTGGGAGCAAAGATGATTTGTTTGGACTGTTCTGAACCTGGAAAAAAGATCAATGTTAGACAGTAAAACTTAATATCAAATTTGAGCTCAACATAAGTCAAATTCATTGACTTGTCTGAATTCCATGTGATTGGGAGCCATCTTGAAATGGCTGCAACTGTTAATGAGTTGACGATGTACATCTGATCATTACTTTCTGAGAGTTTCACAAAGATCTGTCCAGTGGTTCATGAGTTGTTTCTTGATATATTATTGTTGAAGCCAACAGGAAATTACAAAGTTTTAAGACAAAAAGTCGCACAATATGCAACTGTGGGTATGTGTAGTGCTCGTCTCTTTAGCTTGTACTACACCACGTTTTAACTCAATATCTGTAGAACTGACTCAGTCAGTTTTGTGTTGGCTAATGCCAATGAGCTGTGGCAACCATCATCCTGGTGCATGCTCAATAATCCAAGTAGATAAATCTAACAAGGTTAGGTCAGGTCCTCTGGACAGATTCTTCTAGATATGTTTTGTCTTTTCTCCAAAAGGCTTCTTTGGAATGAAAAAGACTTTTGGAGAAAAGACGAAACATATCAACAAGAAGAATCTGTCCAGAGGACCAGACCTAACCTTATTACATCATGAATGGTGTGAGTTGAGTTGAAGATTTACATCAAATAATTACTTTCTGAGAAGTTAACTAAAATTTCTTCACTGGTTGATGAGATATTCTGCTAATAAACAGACACAGCTGACTTTAATAATTCATGGAAAAGATTTTAAAATGGATTTTGCCCAAACTATACCTGTTAGAGAACATGGTATACAATTCCACTGCTGCTACAAAACAAAATGTTTACTTAATGTAGCTTTAAGTCAGCCGTTATTTCCCTAAAGTTTCCTTAAAATCCGTTCACAGGTTTATGAGACGTTCAGTGCTGCAGACAAACCCACACACACACACACAACTTTATATTTCTATCCTTATTAGAACTGTATATTGATTTTCATTAATTTCCATTTATTTCTGTAGACTAACTCTAAACCTAACCTAAACTCAATTCACACCTTAGTCCTAATCCTAACCCCTAATCCAAAGATGCTGTTCCACAGCATTAGAACCAGGCTTTGGTATCCAAAAATACTACTGGTCCTGGCAAGGTAGATGTTTATACCAGAAAATATTAAAAAAGATAACGAAAAACACACATACATAAACTCTGTATCTCTCTCTCTCATGCGCACACGCACACAAACATTTGTCTTGCTATTTTTATGTGGACTTTGCACTGATTCCATTTCATTTTTCATTTATTATAAAAGCCCAACACTGACCCTGACCCTAAACCTAACCATTACCAGTACATATCTGATTTGATAGAAGAGATCATATCTCTCCAGTTTTAGCTTCTCTCCATTGGCTCCCTGTCAAATCCAGAATAGAATTCAAAATCTTACTTCTAACCTACAAAGCTCTCAACCACCTGGCTCCATCTTATATTACAGATCTTATTGTTCCATATTTTCCTAACAGAGCACTTCGCTCTCAGGCTGCAGGTTTACTCGTGGTTCCTAGAATTTACAAAAACAGAATGGGAGGCAGATCTTTCAGTTCTCAGGCTCCTCTCTTGTGGAACCAACTGCCAATCTCTGTCCGTGAGGCTGACACATTATCTAGTTTTAAAACTGGGATTAAGACTTTCCTTTTTGATAAATCCTATAGTTAGGGTCAGCTTGGGTTTCCTGAGCTGTCCCTTAGTTCTGCTGCTATAGGCTTAGACTGCTGGAGGACAAACTGACCACAATTTTCACTCTGCTACTGTCTTTACTTACTCTGCTCAACCTGTTTTGTATTTGTAATTATTTTTTCTATCCTTAACATGTGTTTGTCTTTCAGATACACCTGGACCTATATCTGGACCTGGACCTACATCTGGACCTGGACCTATATCTGGACCTGGACCTACATCTGGACCTGGACCTATATCTGGACCTGGACCTATATCTGGACCTGGACCTA